AAAATCTGTTCATATTAATTCCCTAATAAGCATAATAATTCATAATTTTTTGGTTCTAATCACATTTCAATTAAACTTGGAGACATAGATTTTCTGTTACATTGCGCAGACCTCATTAGTTTTACACTCAAATCTGGTCATATTAATTTTCTGATTTGCATAATTAGTTTTCAGCTAAGTAATTTCGAATTATATTTAATGTGTCTCCAATACTCTCAGCACATGGGAGTTCTTTCTAAGCTTTCTTTGATTTTACCTTTCCTAGTTGTTCAATAGTCGGGTAAATTGAATGTGTCTGGTCAGTTTAATTCAAGCAGCATGTTTTAAAAAGTAGTTTGCTGCATTTTAATTACTGTCCTCATCGCATTGCCCCCAACTCAAACCACAACACGTTGGTAAATAATCGATGAAATAGTTTGTCTGGACACGTTCAAGTTCCTCTCATTGTTACCTTAAAGCTGTGAAAATCTGGTGTTAATCTGACGACAATAAGTATATGTTATTTTTGTTAAAGACCTTGTATTTTGAAAAACATAAACTCCTAGAAAATGTCCATGAAGTCACAGCAAAGATTTTTCAAGCTTGTTTATCGGCACAATCAATTTGTTTTCCCATCAAGGTTGGTTTTAACATGTGTAGGGGCATACAAATGTGTAAGGCTCTTGGAAACCAAAAAAATAAAAGAATGGGATAAAATTGGCATATGAAAACACCAAAATCAATGATTTTTTTTCAGTGGCTGTGTGACCTTGTGTCTGACACATTCATATGCAAATGACTAATCTGTGAAACAAACAGGGTTGGAGACAAACCACTCAAATGTTTGGAAACACTCATTGTGTGTCAGATAGCTACTGATAACACATCCTAACATTGTTTTGTCTTAATCTTTTAAATTTATAGGCACACAGATTAAACCTGTGTTGTTGATTTTGGAAAACACTACTGAGGCTGCCTTGCTTCCCTTCAGAGAATCTACATTTTAACCAACTTACATGACATTTTATGTTGTGTTGACTTTATCATATGAAAGTTTATAGTGCATTTCATCAATTAATAAATAAATGGGAAAATCGTAATTTTCAACACAAATAATAGTCCCGCTACCTTAACATTCGAGCGACTGTTTTCTATTATTATAGCTGTGATAGTATGGCATAGCTTTTGACCCTATGTCAAGAAATCCAATGGCACTCAGTATGTTAACTTGAAATCCATAATATCCGTTTCATAAATATGGTCCTAATTTTCATACACTATCTATTCCTGACTTTTGAAGTGTGTTTTTGGGTGTGTGTGTGTGATTGTTAGTATTTTACATCCTGTCCTATCATACTTTGCAGGCCAAAACTGTGAGGATAACATAGATGACTGTACTATACGACCAGGTGAGAAATGCCATCATGGTGGCACTTGCGTGGACCAAGTTGGAGGATTTCGATGCCAATGCCGTGCTGGTTATGTTGGACCACGCTGTGAAGGTGACATCAATGAATGTCTTTCTAGTCCTTGTGATCCTAGAGGTACGCAGGATTGTGTTCAACTTGTCAACGAATATCGTTGCGACTGCAAGCTAGGATTTACAGGTATGATAATCACCACCCACTTTGTCATTGTCATCATCTGTTAACTCTGCCATCTTTATCTTATCTTTTTGCTGACTTGATGTATTTCTTAATATACAACAGGTAAACATTGTGCTTTAGACTTTGACTTCTGCAATCCTGATCCTTGTCAAAATGGTGGTAATTGTGTTGATGGAGTCTCTGGATACACCTGTGATTGTCTACCGGTAAGTTTACCTTTTCTTGCACTCAGTCAGCTAATTTAAATTTTTAAACATTATGTGTTATGTAACTTTTAATGTGTTGTGAATTGCTGGTAATATTTAGTCTATATTTTCAGGGTTTTACTGGAGATGAATGTCATCTACTTGAAAGCAACTGTCTACCTAATCCTTGCCAGAATGGCGGCTCTTGTGAACCAACAGTGTCTGGGTACATCTGTCATTGCCTACTTGGGGTTACAGGTGAACAATGTCAAGTTGACACGTATGATGAGTGTGGCTCTGCACCATGTTTGTATGGTGGTGCTTGTCTGGATCTTGTCGGATACTATCTGTGTGAATGCCCACCTTATCAGAATGGTGTCCAGTGTGATGTCTATGATCCAGAGTTCACAGGTGGTATTGGCAAGCCAGTGACTGTGTCACCAACCATTGCTCCTGATGAAGAGGAGCGTGGGTGCACGATTGCAGGTTGCACTGAAAAACATGGAGATGGTGTTTGTGATGTAAGTTTATATGTTTAGAAACAATTTTTCAATTCATTACATTCAGATCAGTTAATACCCATAATCTGTTGCCATGTGTGTTTAACTGCTGTTTGTCTGTCTGTATTCTAGGAGGAATGCAACACATATAAATGTGCATGGGATGGTAAAGATTGCTCATTAGGACTACTACCATGGGAGAACTGCACATCCACTAGTGTCAGGTGTTGGGAGGTGTTCCAGAACGATTTCTGTGATGAAGAGTGTAATAATGAGAAGTGTCTCTTTGATGGCTTTGACTGTGAGAAACAAGTTTCGGAATGCAAGTAAGTAATGATGGCCTACCCATGATTCATAATTCACAGACAATGGAGACGATTGCCTAAATGTTCTACCTGAATGTATTGATGCCTTTCAAATTTTATTTCCCTCACAATTTCCCTGAAAACCTTAAAATTGAGTTTCTCCAGAATACTGAAGTTTCAAGCCTTGTGTTTTTTACCCCCATTGTACATTTACTTGAGTTTGAATTTTCAATACTCGCAACCATGCTATTTATACATTAGCTGGCTTTCAATTATTCAATTCTTGCCATCAGGCTGCTTGTACATTATCTGTGATACAATTTGTTGATTCTCGCCATCAGATAGTTTTTTTTTCTCAGAAGCTACCTTGATCAAGGCTATAGCTTTGCTGGCGTTCATTTCTTTAATTCTCACCATCAGGCTATTTATACCTTTGCTGGTGTTCAATTTTTAGGTTTTTGTTATCACGCTAGTTGTACGTTTGCTGGCGTTCTTTGAATCTTGTCATCAGGCAACTTAAACATTTAAATTCCTGATTTGTGTGCCTTTTGAAAACTTGTGAAATGTCTAATATGTTATTTTTTTGTTTAATGCAGCCCTATATATGATGCATATTGTACAAACCACTATGCAAATGGACACTGTGACCATGGATGTAATAATGCTGAATGCGATTGGGACGGTTTGGACTGTGATGAGTACCCACCCATGTTTGCAGAAGGTACCTTGATCTTGATAATTTTGGCACCACCAGAAGTGATCCGGAATAATTCTAAACAGTTTCTCCGAGATGTTGGTCATAAGTTGCGTACAACAGTGGTGTTTGTGAAAGATACAAAAGGAGATGAGATGATTCTACCGTGGAGTGAAGGAGATGATCTGGCCACAAATGTTGCAATGGCTCGTCACCGACGAAGTGCCTATTCTGGTAGCAGCCTTCTTGATATTATTATCGGGAGGCACAAGAGAGCAGGTCGCACAGGGTGAGTTATTAAGATCGATATAATTTTAAATCACAAATTTATGGCAGTCGCGTTTGTTTGCTCAATTATCATCATCATCTTTTTTGTAGATCTAAAGTATTTCTGAAGCTTGACAACCGCAAGTGTCTTCAAGAGGAGAATGAGTGTTTTGCCACGGCAGGTGAGGCTGCATCATTCCTTGGAGCTAATGCCGCCCAGGATGATTTAGATTTTGCGGGATTTCCTGTGCAAGGTGCTGGCAGTAAGTATTTTTAGTATATTTCATCATGCCACTACCGTAAAAATCCGCAAATAAGCGCCACCCTCAATTAAGAGCCACTCAGTGAAAATTTGTTACATTTGACCCTCCATTAAGAGCCACCAAGAGTTGAGTGGTTTTGTCAATAAGAAACCAGAAATAAGCGCCAGCCGCCCGGTTGTTTACAATCAGGCAGACACAAGCTTGTCTTGCCTCACTTCCACCCTGCATTGTTTATTGCCCCACAGAAGGTGTGAGACAAATAAAGATTATCCCCATAGCTTGCCTGATGTCCAGTATAATTGAAAACGGAAGAATGACAGACGAAAGAAATACACTGAGAGCGTGAATGTGACTATCAACTTGTCTATTTTAAATTCCTG